CAGCTCTGCCCTCCTTCCCATGGGGCAGTTGGAACTTCCTCCATTCACTTCTCCCTGCAGTTTCTCCCTAGAACCCAAACTCAGCCCCTCCACACCCCAGGCTCCCTATCCCTTCCCCCCAGAAAAGCTGCAAGTATTTTCACCCGGTGAGCCTGCCCTCACTGATTCAAGCTTGTTCATTCGGGCTCTGCCACTGGCAGGGCTGGGGCAGGTCACACTCAGGAAAGGAAGGAAAGAAAAGCGGGTAGGAAAGCCAGAGCCCGAGGGAAGGGACAATGAGCAGCCCGGCACACCCTGCAAGAGACACACCCAGACACGGCCTTTGCTGGGGCAGGATCTTTCGGGTTCAAAATGGAAAAGGAGGGCTCAGAGAAGGAAGGGTGTGTGTGCAAAGGGAGGAAGGGTGGTGGCAGGAATTAACAAGAAAGAATAGAGGAAAACAAGAATACAGGGGTATAAAAAAGAAAGACCGGCGTCCAGAGAGAATTGACAAGTGGGCCTCTAAGAAGTCTGGCTCGGCTGCTCCCCTACCTGTTTGTGGTGTCTTTCGGGGGACCCCTTGGCAAGGCAGCTGCGGCTGAGACGGAGGTAGCCCCCCAGAACCAAGATCTCCTCGGCAGTTGGGTACCGCTTCTTCCCGGCCCCCGGGGCTGCAGCATCAGCTGTGGCTGGAGAGGCTGGGGTGGCTGGGGGGGTCGTAGGGGGCACAGACCGCCGGGGGTTGACGGTGAAGGTGTGTCCACTGCGGCGGGGGGCCCCCACCCCTGGCCCTGCCTTCACCCCATAGAACAGGCGGCTCATGAGGGGATCCCCAGGAGGTTGGGGGGCAGTTGGGGCTGGGGGTGGGGGAGACAGAGGGGCTGGTGGTGGGGGCTGGAGTTCCACTGCTTCCTCTTCCTGCTGTCTCAGGCCTCCAGTCCCAGCGTCCTCTGGTGGGAGGGGGGAGGGCACAGAGCAGCAGTTCTGCAGGGCTCTCAGAGGCCTGCCCTGAGCTCCCGCCTCCTCCTTCTCAGCCTCCCCCTCTCCAGCCTCCACACCGGGAGGCTCCAGACGCTTTTCCACTGACTCTGGAGGTTCTGGTTTCTGAGTTTGGGCCTCATTGTCCCTGGGTGTCCATTCTCGAGCCTTCCCGGAGTTCAGGGTCCATTTCCACCCTTCCGTTGGCTTCGTGCCCCTCTGGCCGTCCTCCGCAGTCCTCTGTTCTGCGGCCTCCACTCCCGCAGAACTGCTGCCTTGGGCCTCCTTTGTCAGGGCCTCTGACAGCTCTGTAGTCTCTTCTGGGGCCACCCCTGGAACTGGCCTCCCTTCTTTTCTCCCACATTCTTCCGAGTAGCCTTTTCTTTCTTCTGACCTCGGCCTCCACTCTGTTGCCTCTGGTTGTACCAAACTCTGCTCCTGAGCCTCTCTGGAGTCAGGTCTCCATTTATGGGCCTCTGTCAGGCCCAACTTCGGGTAGGCAGATTCCCCCGGGCTCAGTCTACTTTCCACCTCTTTTCTCCTGGGGCTTTGCTCTCGAGACTCTGCTAGTCTCAGACTCCGCTCTGGAGTTTCTACAGGACTCAGCCTCCATTTCCGTGCCTCTGGCAGTCGGGAGCTCCGGTCTCCCGCCTCTCCTGGGCTTTGCCTCCAGTCCCGAGCCTCCAGAGGCCTCAGGCTCGACTCTTGGGCTCCCCCTATCCCCAGTCTCCTCTCTCTGGTCTCCCTGGGACTTAGCCTCTCTTCTCTTGACTCTCTTCCCTTGGGGCTCTGATCCCGCATCTCCCCAGGGCTGGGTCTCCGCTCCCGGGCCTCCAGAGATCCGGGCTTTCTCTCAGCTAGCAGCTCTTCACTCCGTTGCTGCTGCTGCTGCTGCTGCTGCTGCTGCTGCTGCTGCTGCTGCTGCCGCTCCTGCCGGATGAATCGGTTCTGGTGCACCGGCCCGATGGCCTCCTGAAGGACCGCAGATTCATCTGTGTCTGGAGGGCCGGCCTCTGCAGTCCCGGGCACAGGGCTAGGCTCCCCAGGGGACAGCCCAAGCTTGGCCCGGCGGCGCTCCAGGAGCCCTCGCTTCCAGGCTGGCATCTGGGACAGGCGCTCCCGTTCTGCCTTCTCCCGGCCTCTAACGGACGCCTCCTCCTGCCGGCGCCGGGCTAGCAGCTGTAGCTTCCAGTCTGGGATGGTGGTCATGGTCGCCTTGAGGTGAGGGTAGGGAGCACTGGGGGCAGAGAACAGGAAGAAGAGGCTCCAGAGAGGCCCAGGGGGTGAGACTGAGGGTGGGAGGAGAGGAAGTGGAGGGGGAGAGGTGGGACACCGAGCAGGGCAGAGGAGCTGAGGATGAGGACCAAGGGAAAGAGGGAAGGCAGCGAACAGGGGAAACGGAAAAAGTGAAGAGAAGTTGTGAGCCCAAGTTGGGGGTGGCGGGGGCGATGTGAGAGGAAGAGTCCAGATTGGAGGCAATGGGGCAGGAGCCAGATGTGGCAGTGCAGGTTAATGCGTATTAAAGACCAGTCTCTAGGATGTGAGAAACAGAGAAAGGGCGAAAAGGAAAGTTGCTATGAGGGTGAAAGGAGAAAAGGGACAGGGACGAGGGGAACCCGGGTGCAGGCCAGGCTGCCTCAGCGATACCCCTGGTAGGTGAACGTGGGAAGGAAGGACCGGGAATCCCTCCCGAGAGGGTGCAACGGGACCTGAGGGGGTGTTGAGGAGGCAAGGAGGAGCGGACAGCGAGCAGGTCTAGGGGAGAAGGGAAACCAGGGAAGAGGGGAAGGGAGCGCGGCGGCAGCGGCCGGGCGCGTCTCAGCGCGGGCCCCAAAGGTCCCTGCTCCGCTTCCAGCGCCGCTGGGGCCACGCCTCTCCCCAGCCCCCACCCCTCTGCCCCGCCCCCCGCCCCCGAGGCGGGTCGGGGGAAATACCCACCCCGGGACTTTCGGAACCCGGGCGTCAGGGCTGCCAGCGCGTTCCCAGAACCCTGGCATCCACCCCCACCCAGTCCCGTCAGCACCGCCTGCCTCCCCCGCCGGCTGCGCCCGGCGACCCCGGAGTGCCGAAGGCAGGCTCCATGCCTCTTCTCTCCGGCGGCGCCTGCGAGTCCCGTGCCCGGTCCCCGCTCTCATGGAGCCGTGACAGAGCCAGCCGTCTCCACCCCGCTCTGGCTGCACAGACTGACAATCTCGGCACAAGGAGGAGACAGCCAAGGTCCGGGCCAGGGACGGGAGCGAGGAGACACCCCCTCCCCATATCTGAGTCCCTCAGTCAACTCACACGCCGTGGGGCCCCCCTGGGAGGGGGTGCGGAGGAGCCGGGCGTCCAGAGAGAGGAAGAGGAGGAGAGAGGGACCGAGGGAGATCCGGAGACTGGAGGGAGGGGAGGAGGAGGGAGAGGAGGAGGGAAAGAGGCAGCAAAGGAGGAGGGACGGAGACAGAGACCAGGGGGCCGGGCGGGGGCGGCGACCGCTTTGTCTAAGGACAATGAGGAGAGGGAAGGGGGCGCAGGGCGGAGCCCGAGGAGAGGGCGGGGCCTAGCTCCCTCCCACCCCGCGTGGGACTCGCTCTGGGACTGCCCCCTACTAGCCCCAACCCCTGATCCTCCGCTCTGTGTCCCCGGGGGCCCACACCCGCTTCCCCCCCGGTAGCCCTGGAGAACCCAGGTGTCCAGATCCCTTCCCCCAGCTCGCCGACCCAGGGCGGTGGCCCGTGACTCAGGCCCCTCGTGGGACTTTGGGAGGAAGCGGCAGCTGCTCGGAGCCGGGCCCGCCCTTCCCATCTCCTGCCGCTCAGCCCTCCCTACGATTTTGCCTTCTCCGGCCAGTCTTTGTTTTTGCCGGGTCGAGGGCAGCCACTAGGCTGTAGGGGGCCTTGAGGAGGGGGCGGCAGGAGAGGCACTCAGAAGCCAGCGGTTTTGGAAGCTCGTTCTCCTACCAGAGCTGCTGTCCACACTCTTTCTAGCTTCAACCTGCCTCCCATGAGTCTCCTGGTCAGCTGCGGGGTGGGGGGCTGGGGGGAAGGGGATTTGAAGGAATGGGGACCCGGCCTCTCTGGTAAAGTGGGGGCGGGTCAGTGGGGGCGGGGGGAGGGTGGCCGAAGCCCAGCGGTTGCCAGAGGGCGTGGTGGCTGCCCAGACTCCACTTCGCGGGCTCGCAGGCTCCCTCTGGCTTTTCTTCCCAAACTCAGCCCTGCAGCTTGGGAGACACTGACAGACTGCATATAGTACGTAGAAAAATCAAGGTTTTATTTTCCTGCAGAGCATCCAGAACAGGGAGCCCCAAGTTAAGAGCGGGAGAATCCTCTTGACTAGGTGCAGGGCTGAGCCCAGAGGCAGGGCCTAAGGAGGTGCAGACACTAGGGCCGGGAGTGCTGAGGCAAGGTGTGGGGCCTGGAGGGGCAGCCACTACCTTTGAACTTGCAGACCCTGGTCCAGCTTCTTGGAGTGGAAGCCAGAGGTGGCGAAGGGGGGATCCCAGAGGCACAGAGGGAAGCAATGGTGCCAGTCAGTGGAGTGGTCAGGGCAGATCCTTTCCTTCTAGGTGGCTGTTGAGGGGGAGTGTGCCATGCCCTAAACAGTGAGGAGACAGATGAATTCCATACTCTGCTCTTCCTTGCTGGTGGACTCTTGGAATTCAGTGGCTGAAACTCAGAATTTAGAGTATGGAGCCGGACCCAGAGAATAAAGTAGCAAGTAGTGGAAGGGCAGCTCCTTCAGTCCATGGATTTGAGCCTCTGACCTGAAGCAGCCAGGGCCTGGATGTTAAAGATTTGGAATTCAGGGGAAGAGGGACTGGGCGTGGTGGCTCATGTCTGTAATTCCAGTACTTTGGGAGACCAAGGCAGGCGGATCACAAAGTCAGCAGTTCAAGACCAGCCTGGCCAACATGACGAAACCCTGTCTTTACTAAAAATACAAAAATTAGCTGTGTGTGGTGGCGAGAGCCTGTAATACCAGCTGCTCAGGAGCCTGAGGCAGGAGAATCATTCGAACCTGGGAGGCGGAGGTTGCAGTGAGTCAAGATTGCGCCATTGAACTCCAGCCTGGGCAACAGAGCAAGACTCCATCTCAACAACAAAAAAGAATTCAGGGGGCGGGGAAGAACAGGGCTTGTAACGAGAGTGAGCTTCTCACTCTGCCTCCCCATCCTGGGGTCGAGAGAGCAGGTGGAGTTTTCTTTGCAGCTGGGCCCGGAGGTAGCGGAGGTCTTGCTGATCAAGCCCATGAGCCAGGCCCAGGTAGAGGGTAAGGAGGAGAGCAAGAAGGAGACGGTCTGTGCCAAGCGTGGGCACCACCCACAGCACTGTCAGCAGCTCCACACACACTGGGTGGCGCAGGTGGGAGAAGAGTCTGAGAGCCCGGGGAGACTTCAGGGCCAGAGGCTCGCCCAGCCCCAGCACATGGTAGTATACCTAAGAGAGGGAGAAGAGCTCAGAAATGAAGTCAAGACTTTTTCTTGGCTTGGGCACTTCTTTCCTTCTCTTCCAGGCACCACCCTCCCAGAACTCAGGCCCAGGAACCCCCCTTCTGAGACTTGGGCCCTGACCCAGACTTCTTTTTTTTTTTTTTTTTTTTGAGACAGAGTCTCACTCTATTACCGAGGCTGAAGTGCAGTGGCAAGATCTTGGCTCACTGCAACCTCTGTCACCCAGGTTAAAGCAATTCTCTTGCCTCAGCCTCCCGAGTAGCTGGGATTACAGGCGCCTGCCACCATGCCCGGCTAATTTTTGTATTTTTAGTAGAGATGGGGTTTCACCATCTTGGCCAGGCCTGTCTTGAACTTCTGACCTAGTGATCCACCTGCCTCGGCCTCCCAAAGTGCTGGGATTGTAGACATGAGCCACTGCGCCCAGCCCCTGACCCTGACTTCTGATCCATGTACCTTCCCCAGGCCCAGGAGGCCCATGGTTGCTGTCCTTTTGACAGAGAAGCAAGAAGAAGGTAGAAGAGCATGGGAGGAGGCAAACCCTTGAAAGGGAAAGAGGAGTTCTAAAACAGGCCAGAGGCCGTAAGTAGGGATCTGGGAGCCTCACCTGCTTGAGGCCCATGAGCTCAGCGTAGTCAAAGACGAGAAGGATGCTGAAGATGAGGAGCCAGGAGATGACATGGAGCACAAAGCAGAGGAGGGGCACCCAGGTGGCCCATGGCTCAGCCCGAGCCTCCCACAACACCGGGCCTCTGGGTACGGGCTCCCAGTACCGCATCACCAGCTGTGGAAGGATAAGGGGCTGGGTATCCCAGTGGCCTACCCTGCCTTTCCTTGGGAGACCCAGACCCAGAGCTGCCCCCACCACAGGCTACCTTGCAACTCTCGCCCACCCCTCTCCTGACTCACCAACAAATATTCACCATGTGGAGGGTGCTGGGTGAGGTCCCAGAGATGTAAGGATCACCTGTCTCTACCCTGAAAACTTACAGATGGGGTGACCTGATATCTACACAAAGTAGTAGCCTATGCCAGCCACCCAATGAGAAGACAGACCAGTACGATGGAAAGCCTTCTCTTCAGACCTAGGGAAGTGGTTTTGAAGAAAGGATAGATCTGAAGAGAAGTTAAGGAAGGGATCACAAGCAGGACATGAACATAGTTGCAAAGGTGAGAATGCACATATTGTGCTTGGGGAAGGACAAGTACAGCCTTCTTGATAAAAAGTAGGATGCGTGCTGTGGAGGAATGGAAGCTGAGATTAGCTCCTCAGTTCTCCACCTGAACCCATATTTTGCCCCTCTAATCCAGGGCACCCCTCCCACACTTGGTGTCCTTTGGGGACTCAACTGCCAGGGCCTCATACCTGCAAGGCCAAGGCAGTGCAGGCCACATACAGTGACCTCTGAAGGACCCCAAAGTACCGGCATGTCCATGCTTTCACTCTCTCAGCTGCCATGAGGCTGTGTTGCCCAACAAATAGAAGCAGGAGCCCCAGATCCCATGCCAGCGGGGCAAGGATGCTGCGGTCCTGCAGGGCAGCCAGCCATCCCTGGCGGGCATCTATGGGAAGTTGAGGGAGAAAGAGACAAAAGATCAAAAAGGGGGCAGAATGTTTCCCCCACCCTCATCTCCTCTTGGAGCCCCAGGCCATATCCCTTACTGTTTTCAAGAGCCTTAATGCTTCCTCTCTACGCTGTGCCCATCTCACTTTTCCATTCCTAGTTTCTGCCCTCTTCCCTAGGCCTCCTGCAAACCTGGGGAAGAGGATTCATAGAACGAACAATGCATGTTGGGCACTTGCAAAAAGCATGGATGGAGAGGTCACCGCTGGATTGCCCCTTTTATTTCGGTTCTCCAATTGCTGCTCCTTTTTTTTTTTTTTTTTTTTTTTGGTGAGACGGAGTTTCACTCTTGTTACCCAGGCTGGAGTGCAATGGCACGATCTCGGCTCACCGCATCCTCCGCCTCCTGGGTTCAGGCAATTCTCCTGCCTCAGCCTCCGGAGTAGCTGGCCACCATGCTCAGCTAATTTTTTGCACCATTAGTAGAGACGGGGTTTCACCATGTTGACCAGGATGGTCTCGATCTCTTGACCTCGTGATCCACCCGCCTCGGCCTCCCAAAGTGCTGGGATGACAGGCTTGAGCCACCGCGCCCGGCCCGACTGCTCCTTTTTAACACTCTTTTCTCAACTGTCCTCTCTACAAAACACTTTACTTAACAATACTCCGGTTATCGCCCTTTCCGGCTCCCTCAATCCTCACTCTCCCTCCTCTCCAAGCCTCTAATCCTTGAGTTCCTAATTTAGTCCTCAGGTCTCCCTCCCCGGTAGCTTCTCCGCCGCTTTCTCGGTTCGAGTTCCCTCTCCCCTGTCATTTGTTTCCAAGCCCCGCCCTCGATCTCTCTACAGCGGCTCCACCTTCCTACCCCCAGTTCATATTCGATCCCTCCCGCTCACCCGGACCACCAGACTCCGAGATCCGTCCAAGAAGTGGCTGAAGGGAGGTAAAGCGCACGAACTCCACTCCGGTGCCAAAGGCCAGGATGAAAGAGGCGAGGGCAGCAGGGACCAGGAGCAGTGCAGGGGCCATGGCGAGAAATGGAGGGGTGGGGAAAGGGGCGGGGTCGGGATTCCCGCGGCCACAGGCCCCTCCCACTGCCCCGCCCCCGCACAGAATCCAGCCCAGGAGGGCGGGGCTCCTGCACGCCGCTCGCTGCCCGACTTCCGGCCCGCGGGGCGCGGCCTCTCACACCCCGCGGCGAACCGGTGCCGGGATTCGAGTCCCAGCCTGCGGTGTCTCCATCACAGAAGGGAATGTTAGAATCCCGTCTGTGTTAGAGACAGAGAGCTGTTAAGGTTAGCGGCTCTGCAGCGGCTTACATGGATTGAATCTCAGCTCGTCTAGTTTTCCCATCTAAAATGAAAAGTGACTATTTTACAACAAAATAAATGAATGCTTATTCTGTAACTTATTATGAAGTTGAGTTGTTGACTGGCTAGTTTCTAAGAAGAGCAAGTAACTTCTCTGTAAATACTGAAAGGTTTGTTGTCATAGTGCCAGAGATTGTTGATTTGTAACCACAAGAGTAAAAATGTTAAAATATTTGTGACAGTAACCTTTGTCAGAATTAAAGATCATGCAGCCAAGGACCTTGTCACACTAGCTGTGCACATAGTAGGGACCTTAGATATCATTAGACTAATTCCATCAATTTATAGATAGAAGAAATAGGTCCAGAGAGATGAAAATTGCCTGAGTTAGGAAGCGGCTAATCTTGCAGGCTGAAGGACCGGAACATTGCTGAGCAGCCTCCCGAAAGCTTGACATTCCTTCTCCTCCCTCTCCTGGGCTCAGTACTCCTACCCTCCTCTGAATCAATGCCATTGTATGCTGTACCAGACATCTTATGTTTTCCCTTAAATTCACTCTCCACCCTGCTTTCTGCTTCAGGAAGTTGTTCCAAATGGACCGCATCAATGAAAGTCAGTTTTGGCCAGGCGCGGTGGCTCACGCCTGTAATCTCAGCACTTGGGAGGCTGAGGCGGGTGGATCACAAGGTCAGGAGATCGAGACCATTCTGGCTAACACGGTGAAACCCCGTCTCTACTAAAAATACAAAAAATTAGCCGGGCGTGGTGGCGGGCGCCTGTAATCTTAGGTACTCCGGAAGCTGAGGTAGGAGAATCACTTGAACCCAGGTGGCAGAGGTTGCAGTAAGCCGAGATCGCGCCACTGTACTCTAGCCTGGGCCACAAAGCAAGACCTCATCTCAAAAAAAAAAAAAAAGAAAAAAAGAAAAAAAAAGTCACAGCTTTTATTGAGGACGTCCTCTCTACACCACTGCTCCTTCCTCATCTTTTTGAGCTTGGAGGTGGTCACAACAGAGCTGTGGGTATTAAGGCACTACACTATTCTTTCTGATTTCCCTACACTCTGCCTACTTATTTGTATTTATCACTTTATTAAAATATCCCACAAAGTATCCCAATTTGAATGTGCTATTCATTTCCTGCTATGACCGTGAATAGAGACACTTACCACGCAAAGCAATGTGCTACAAGCTGTGGGGTTCATTGGAAGTGTAAGAGGCCAGACACGGTGGCTCATGCCTTTATGTAATCCCAGCACTTTGGGAGGCTGAGGTGGATGGATCACTTTAGGCCGGGAGTTCGAGATCAGACTGGCCAACATGATGAAACCCTGTTTTTACTAAAAAAAATACAAAAACTAGCTGGGTGTGGTGGTGTACGCCTGCAATCCCAGTTACTCAGGAGGCTGTTAGGGGAATCATCTGGGCGATAGAGCAAGACTCTGTCTCAAAAAAAAAAAAAAAAAAAAAAAAAAAAAAAAAAGTTAAAATACCAGGAAGTGTAAGAAAAAATCCTTATTCTCTAGATGTTTAAGCTGAGGCACTTAAATAGTACTACGCATGAAGAGGTAGTGTAGCTGAGTGCTACATGGTGCTCTATAGACACCAGATATGGTAGGAAATCAGGGCCTCTTGCTGGACGCAGTGGCTCATGCCTGTAATCCCAACACTTTGGGAGGCCAAGGTGGGTGGATCATCTTATGTCAGGAGTTGGAGACCAGCCTGGACAACATGGTGAAACTTCATCTCTACTAAAAATACAAAAATTAGCTGGTGATAGGGGACGCCTATAATCCTGGCTACTTGGGAGGCTAAGGCAAGAGAATTACTTGAACCCAGGAGGCAGAGATTGCAGTGAGCTGAGATCATACCACTACACTCCAGCTGGGTGAAAGGCTTTTTCTTTCCTTTTTTTTGGAAAAAAAAAAAGGAAAGAAAAAGCAATAAGGGACATGGACAATTTCATAGAATATGAAAGCTTTGAGTTGTGCAAGGGGACTATTATTTATCCGGGTCCTACTGTCTGCTGCCACTCCCACAATGGCTGTGCTTAATATATATTATGAAATTAGATATGTTTAAAAGCCAGGACAGTGCTTGGCAAATCTCATGCTACACCAAAGTGTCCTAAACTTAAGTATTACTTACATGCAGAAAATGGTACAAAACTAATCAGCTCTTTTTAAAAAATTGAAATTCATACAACATAAAATTAACCTTTTTTTTTTTTCAGTTGGGGTCCCACTCCGTCATCCATGCTGGAGTGCAGTGGTATGATCATGGCTCACTGCAACCTCAAACTTCTGGGTTCAAATGATCCTCTTGCCTCAGCCTCCAGAGTAGTTGAGACTACAGGCATGTGCCCACATTCAGCTTTTTTTTTTTTTTTTTTTTTTTTTGAGACGGAGTTTCGCTCTTGTTACCCAGGCTGGAGTGCAATGGCACGATCTCGGCTCACCGCAACCTCCGCCTCCTGGGTTCAGGCAATTCTCCTGCCTCAGCCTCCTGAGTAGCTGGGATTACAGGCATGTAATCCCAGCTAGTTTTTTGTATTTTTAGTAGAGATGGGGTTTCACCATGTTGACCAGGATGGTCTCGATCTTTCGACCTCGTGATCCACCTGCCACGGCCTCCCAAAGTGCTGGGATTACAGGCTTGAGCCACCGCGCCCGGCTCACATTCAGCTTTTTAAATTTTTTTTGTAGTGATGGGATCTCCCTTTGATGCCCAGATTGTTCTCAAACTCATTGGCTCAAGTGATTCTGCTGCCTCAACCTCCCAGGGTGCCACCATGCCCTGCCTAACCACTTTATTTATTTTGAGATGGAGTTTCACTCTTGTTGCCCAGGCTGGAGTGTAATGGCACAATCTCAGCTCACTGCAACCTCTGCCTCCCAGGTTCAAATGATTCTCCTGCCTCAGCCTCCTGAGAAGTTGGGATTACAGGTGCCCACCACCACACTCAGCTAATTTTTGTATTTTTAGTAGAGATGGGTTTTTGCCATGTTGACCAGGCTGATCTCGAACTTCCGACCTCAGGTGATCCACCCGCCTCAGCCTCCCAAAGTGCTGGGAATTCAGGTGTGAGCCACTCAGCCCAGACTTTTTTTTTTTTTTTTTTTTTTTGGAGACGGAGTTTTGCTCTTGTTACCCAGGCTGGAGTGCAATCGCGAGATCTCAGCTCACCGCAACCTCCGCCTCCTGGGTTCAAGCAATTCTCCTGCCTCAGCCTCCTGAGTAGCTGGGATTACAGGCACACACCACCATGCCCAGCTAATTTTTTTGTATTTTTTTTAGTAGAGACGGGATTTCACCTTGTTGACCAGGATGGTCTCGATCTCTTGACCTCATGATCCACCTGCCTCGGCCTCCCAAAGTGCTGGGATTACAGGCTTGAGCCACCGCGCCCAGCTTTTTTTTTTTTCTTGAGACAAAGTCTCTCTGTCACCCAGGCTGGAGTACAGTGGCACAATCTCTGCTCACTGCAACCTCCATTTCCCAGGTTCAAGTAATTCTCCAGCCTCAGCCTCCCGAGTAGCTGGGATTACAGGTGCATGCCACCACACCCAGCTAAGTTTTGTATTTTTTTAGTTGAGACAGGGCTTTTTGCCATGTTGTTCAGGCTGGTCTTGAACTCTTGATCTCAGGTGACCCACCCACCTTGGCCTCCCAAAGTGCTAGGATTACAGGGATGAGCCACCATGCCTGGCCCATTTTTGTATTTTTTGTAAAGATGGGGTTTTGCCATTTTGCCCAGGCTGGTTGCCCATGAACTCCTGGGATCATGCAATCCTACTGTCTTAGCCTCCAAAAGTGCTAGGATTACAGGCATAAGCCATCACACCCAGCCTGGACACCTGTTTTAAATTCTTTTGGGTATACATCTAGAGCAGAATTGCTGGATAATTTGGTAATTTCATGTTTAACTTTTTTTTTCCCTCCAATTAGAGAGCAGGTACTTTTTTTTTTTTTTTTTTTTTTTTTTTTTTAGATGGAGTTTTGCTCTTGTTACCCAGGCTGGAGTGCAATGGCTCAATCTTGGTTCACCACAACCTCTGCCTCCCAGGTTTAAGCAATTCACCTGCCTTAGTCTTCCAAGTAGCTCGGATTGCAAGCATCCACCACCAGGCCTGGATAATTTTAAAAATATTTTTAGGCCGGGCGCGGTGGCTCAAGCTTGTAATCCCAGCACTTTGGGAGGCCGAGGCGGGTGGATCACGAGGTCGAGAGATCGAGACCATCCTGGTCAACATGGTGAAACCCCGTCTCTACTAAAAAGACAAAAAATTAGCTGGGCATGGTGGCACGTGCCTGTAATCCCAGCTACTCAGGAGGCTGAGGCAGGAGAATTGCCTGAACCCGGGAGGCGGAGGTTGCGGTGAGCCGAGATCGTGCCATTGCACTCCAGCCTGGGTAACAAGAGTGAAACTCCGTCTCAAAAAAAAAAAAAAAAAAAAAAAAAAAAAAAAAAAAAAAATTTTTAGTAGAGACAGGGTTTCTCCATGTTGGTTAAGTTGGATTCGAACTCCTGACCTCAGGTTATCCACCCACCTCAGTCTGTCAGTGCTGGGATTACAGGCATGAGCCACCACGCCTGGATAACAGCAGGTATTGTTTAAATGACTAGATTAGAAAAACAATCATGGTAGACCCCTTAGTTCATTCTTCTAATAAGCCTGTTGATCTGGTCCTCCCTGTTGCCAGCATCTCCACTTTCTACAAAATGGGTGGTCTTTTCTTCATTCCACCTTGTGGAAAGGATAACTTGAAGGACCACAAGTTATTTGCTTCTTTGAAGCATTTACCTACAGTATAGATCCCATGAATCAGATCCTCCATGCAGGTGATGCCATGTTTACCAAGAGATCGAGCAATCAAAGTGTTATC